CAAACTAACTGCAAACGTGAGTGACAAAAGCATAGACTTTCTCGATACCACAGTCTTTAAGGGAGATTCCATAGCAGAAACAAATAAACTGGATATTAAAGTGTATTTCAAAGAAACTGATACTCATCAACTCTTGCACAAGAGCTCCTTTCACCCAAAACATACCTTTTCTGGTATAATTAATTATTTACGATTTCATCGAATTTGTACAAGATCTTCTGATTTCAACCAAGCCTGTACGATTGTTTTCTCAAAACTGAAAGAGTGTGGGTACTCTAAACGATTTTTACGAAACATTAATAATTCCACCTTAGCACAGATAGCAGCTAAAAACAGACTTTATGCCGAAGTACCTCCAGGTTTAAGAAGTGCTCCATGTTTGTCCAGTAGATGCAAAACATGTCCCTTTATATCAGAAACTCATTATTTTGTAAGCAACTCTACGAATAAAAGGTACCCGATCCAGGAACATCTAACATGTGAACATTCGAATGTAATATATTTAATTTCATGCAAGAAATGCCCCAAACAATATATAGGAGAAACTAAGAATAATTTACGAACTCGCTTTAATGCTCATAGGTCAGACATCAAATTGAACAAGCCTGTTTCTAATCATTTCAACCTCGACGACCATTCAATAGACGATCTCGCCCTAATCCCAATTGAGCGTATAGAAATTGACTTGCCCGAAGATGAAACTACCAAATTCCGTCAATCTAGGGAAGTCCATTGGATTGAGACATTGAATACAGCAAGACCTATAGGACTAAATATTCATCATAATGTAGGCATAGCACCCTTTGTTGTCCCGTTTAATACAACCAGCAATCGAGCAAGCAAGATAGTTCATGCCCACTATAAGAGCCTTCAAGAGAAATTCCTCCATGTCTATAAGCAGAAAATGATAGTTGCATATTCAAAAAATAAGAACTTAAATGATAATATTGTTCATAGTAAACTAAAAACAATCAGTACATAACAGATACTATACTTCTCGCCCATCAGGCGAGTTATTTTTTCTAATTTCAGATCAGAATAAGAACAGAAGAAAACCCAATATCAAGACCCTTAATCCAAATTTCTAAATAAAGCCAAAAGTAATTCATCACAATAAACTTAAGCCTTACACTGGAGATAAAAAAATCCAGTAATAAAAGATAACAATTTTAAACTTATCAATAAATAATAACAATAATTTAATAATAATAAAATTAATATTAAATTTAAACATTGAACAATAACAAAAATCCAGTCCTCAATTACTTTTAATAATTAAAAATTAATAAAATATAAATAACGTGTACATTTAAATATTTACTTAAAATAATAATTGATTACTTACCATTGTTATTGTAAACATCTTGAAAATTGATAAGTAGATTTTTTAGTTCATTTTGTTCATGTGCTGACAAATCTGAGGATGCCTCCTTATATAAAAGTTCTAAATGGTCTGGAAGGAAATCCTTACAATGTTTTTGCATGTGCACTTCGTTAACATGCACAGCATCTACATGACCTTCTATTAATTCCTCGTCATGAACAGTCTCAATGTTGGCGACCACAGAATTCTTGTAAAGTATCATTAACGTTTAAAATTCTAAATGGAATTATTCCCTTACTAGGATTAACTAATGTTTTAGCCACCAATGCTTCATACTTTTCTGTGAATTTGTCACTTGGTTCAACATATACTGTATTTGTATTTGGAATGAGATCTATTACGTTTCCTAATATAATGGTCTCAGAGAGTGCTCTCTTTATTCTGTCCCTCTTCGAAAGAATAGATTGGTACTTTTTCTCCTTTAATGCTCATACATTTATTTACTAAAATAAATTGATTGAATTTTTACTTAAAAAGTCCATCCCTTATATTATTCTTTGTGTTATTTCAGCTATTAAGAACTGGTGTTTAAAATTAAATAATCCAACCGTTATATTAACAGTACAACTACCAACAAATGGACGTTTCTCACCTGTTGCAGTTACTAAATGTAAGTTATCATTGGGTTCCATTTGGAATTTGTTATCCTGTTGTAAAGTTTTAAACAAGGGCATACTTATTATAGATACTGAAACACCAGTGTCTAATAAAAATTCAACATTTGTCTCATTAATTTTCCCATTTGTGAACAAGCCACGATTATTATTACCTATGTTACTAATTGCTATAATTTTGGGTCTGTCTATAAAGCTTGCTGAATTCTGACCCTCGAAATCAGCAATTACCCGAATTATTAGTATTTTCTTGAGTATTTACAAAATTATGAGAAGTGGATTGCAAATGTCTTTCAGAACCTAAATTATGATGATTAACATCTTGAGATTCCATTCTTTTATTATGATTATTTTCAGAATTTCTTCTGAAATTGCCATATTGATTTGATTATTATTATAGTTATATATTTTATAATGATCGTTATTATTTCTATTTGCGGCTTTGTTTGTATTCCAGTTCCAATTTGATCTGGAATGGTCATTTCCTTTTCAATCTCCTTTTAAGGTCTGTATTAAGTGACTTGTTGTCTTCTCTAGGGAACTTATGGAACTATTTAAATTCTTAATATCAATTTGATCCTTTTTAGTGGATTCTGAAACTGCAGCATTTACTGCCACTTTTGTTTCATTACACTCTATGGCATGGACATGTCGTACTCTTTGTCTATCTGCAAGCCTGTGAGCTTCTGGTTTCACTGCTAAAATTTCTGCCTCATTTATTGTTTGTGGTCTTAATTCCCTTATTCTTAATCTTATTTCAGCATCAGGGACGGCATCAATAAAATTATCTATTGCTAATATGTTTGTTAAAGAAGTATTGGCTGTTGGATATGATTGCCTGGTAAGTTTTCTGATAGACATTGCGAATCCGAAAGTGACTCGGATTTCCCTATAACTTTACTTTGCAATTTAGCTCTGAACATTTCAGACCTTGAAATTGAACCAAATCTAAAATTTAAAGTTTTAACTAAATTCTCAAAATTTTGTCTGTCAGTTAGGCTCATCTCCATTAAAATTATTCTTGCATTTCCTGATAAGGAGCTTGCCAAATATAATGCTTTTTCATTATTGGTCCAATTATTTAGATCAGCAATGATATTAAATTGAGTAATATATTCGTCAAAATCTTCCTCTCCATTGTATTGCTGAGGTTTAATTGTAACTCTATGACGTCTACTATGTATTTGGGAATAATGGTAATTTTCATTTTGATCTATTGCAGAATTTGTAATGTTATCGTTATCACTGAGGGTTAAATTAGAAGAAGAATTGGTATTAGAAGAGTTCCCAGCATTTAAAGTTTTATTTATCATTTTATGCAACTCTGTAATTTCATTATTTAATTTTATCAAAATCATGTTTAAACATATTTAATTTCTCAGTTATCTTATTCAAAATTAATTCATCTTTAGAATTGAATTTAATGTTATCATTGTTATCTTGTTCTTCATTTATCACCAGACTAGGCTCTTTAAAAGATATGTCAGGATCATAACTAGCCATATTTATGCTATTTTAATTAGAATTATTTTATTTTCTTAACTTTGTATTTGTGGTTATGATTCTCTCCAGTGTAGCCAAGGTAAGAATGTTGGAAATCCCAATTCTGACACCAATGTAACAAATCCCAAAAATCTGTCAGGATGAAGGGAATTTTGTTATCAATTTATAAATATAAGGACCCGCCCAACATCAAACCTAACATGCTACGAAATTGGAGAGATATCAAAACACGCAAATAAACAACAATACTTTTATTTGTAAATACTACAATAAAACAAATCAAACACGTATCTTCTCAGCTTCTCTTAATATCTATATTTAGTTTATTCTAATTTACACTTCTGGAATTAAATTATTAATTATATTAATTTGTTACTGTATTATATATACTTAAATTGAATTATCTTAATCTTAATTTAGGATTTATAAGAGTTTTGTATCTTTACGTTACTTATTTTATATTATTATTGTTTCATAAAAAGTTATAATATTTCTCCAACCCAATGTTGGTATTTAATTATGGGCTCTTTATTTGATCTTGGAGAATGTTAATTTCTCCAACTTTAAGCTTAAGGTTTCTCTAATTTTAATCTTTCTCCAAATTTTAGATTGTAGATTTTCTCCAACCAAAAGTATTTCTCCAACTTGATCTTGGGGGTATTCTCCAACTTTGATATTTTGGAGATATTCTCCAACTTTGATATATTGGAGATATTCCCCAACTTTGATATTTTGGAGAGTTTCTTCCACTTCACAGATTCCAACTGTGTTATTTAAGGAATCCTCTTGAAGGATCTTGTATTAAACCTTAATTTATTCACAGTCTTATATTTTTCTCCCCAATTAAATTATTTCTCCAACTTCAATATTGGAGATTATTTACTTACTTTGTCAGAAAAGTCGATCTGCTTGGAGAAACTCATTTTCGTCTGAATGAGAGCGTAGGTAGGTAGGTAGATGACAAGTTAATGTTCGCTTCCAGCGGATGCTGATATCGCAAACTAGGTAGTTGTTGGTAGTCGTGGTAGTTGGTAGTTGGATTGGATCAAATTGGATGATTCGGTGTTGTTGGTTTGGAGGTTGATTCTTCGTTAGATCTGGTCGGGTCGAATGACATGGCGATGAAAGCTTTCACAAAAGGGGGAGAGATGTTCTCTAATGTTTCTGCAATGAAACTTGTTAAATTGATTGGATATAATTAAAAAGTAAAAAGTGTTAAGAAACTTTGAGTTTAAAAACTTAGCCTATCTGTTCAAGGCAGATTTGGTTATAAAATGGAAGACTAGTTCCATTATCGTATACCAGTGGTCCGTGGTTGGAGCCAAAACATTCTGTATGGTGAGTGGTATGCCGTTGGTTACCAGGTACTCTAGCAGTGGCTTACGAGCGGGTTTCAGTTCAGTGCATTGAATGAGGACATGCGACCTTGTGGCAACGTGGCCGCAGCGACATTTAATGGCGTTGAACTGATGGTCTCGTAGTACGTTGTTGGTCCGGAGTCTGGTTGCCACTTTGCAGATGGCTACACATGGATGGTTTGGTTTGGTTTGGTTTGGTATCTTCGGATCAATCTGGTATCTTGCGGTGTCGAGGTTCCGTAACATGTCAGACCATTTCTGGTTGATCCTAGAAGATACGATACTGCAGAACTCCGAATAGGAGTATTCTACGTAGCGTAGCATGGATTACGCGCCCTTTATTTATAACGTCAGTGCGGACGTCACGGTAAACATTGCGCGTTCGTGTTGTTGTTGTTATTTCAGCGGATTTAATGGCTTTTACAAGGACATGGGTAAATCCGATGGTCAATCCCAATCTTTTCTTTTATTGAAATTAGAATAGATAACATTATTTAGTGTGGGTCTGTGTATAGGACTTTTGGGATTAACTTTCTGTGAATTAGAAACAGATAAAAAGAAGACAGAACGGCACAGAAATCGAACTTCCACTTTCGCTATGACGTCATTATGTAAACATAGCGACCAAAATGGCGGTATGGGTGGTTTTCACGAATGCACTAGAAAAGATGAAGTCTATTAAATTAATGATCATTTCTGATCTAACTTTATGTAAACATGCATACGAAACATGTTTAGTTCATGTGGTGTGGGAATCCATAAATGTCATTCAAGATTTAACTATGATAATCTTCATTTTAGATTGGTGGCAAATTACAAATGAGGGCGCCATTTTCATATCGGCTTAGTACATAGAGGCAAAATCGTTACATTGCCCCCCTTTTCTTAAAACATTCGTCCCGAATGTATATAATTTTAACTTTTATTTTTAAAATTTATATTATTATTTATTATAGAATATTTCTTTTTTCAGATATTTATATCTGTTGGCTATAATATTAATGTAGAATTAACAACGTCCAGTGCTAGTGGCTGCGGAATAATAATAACAATAACAATAACTAGCATCAAAATTAACATTACATTTCACTTACTCTGGATTGGATGATTGTGACCAAGCCAGACAACTCGTAATATTTTGCTTCCAACAAGAATTCCTCCAGTGCAGAATAATTAAGTGGAATGAGTCGGGATATAGGTGTTTCACCAACATTTCTGAGATAGTTCAATATTTGATCGAAATGTTTTGGGTCCCGATCTATTCTGTATATAGGTGTGGAACAATTCTTTGCCAATATTGGTTTGACCCCTGACTCCGGATGGACTAATTTTGCTAACAGTCCTCCATTGTCTTTTGATACGGTATCTTTTGAGGTACCGAACATTTTCCCCCCAACATTTAATATGATCCAATTATGATTGTTTTCTGAAATTTGATTAAGTTTAGGTTTTATACTATCTGGTGTCTTTGTCTTGGTTTCTGAAATTTGATTAAGTTTGGGTTTTATACTCTCTGGTGTGTATGTTTTGGTTTTGGAACTAGAAGAAGATGATGATGATATCGATGATGATGTAGAGGAACATGATCCTAATTGGTCAATTGGATCTATGGATTTTACATTCGAAGATGTGTTCACTTTTGGCAGCCAGGACCTCTCTTTTTCTTTGTCATCAGGTGCGTTAAACTCAATGAGGGGTGGAGGGAATGATGGATGTCTTGGTAATTTTTCTATTGGTGTTGGTATATATTTTGGTACGTTTGGTTTTATTCTTTTTGGAGGATCAAAAAGATTATCATGACTTTTCCTTTTAGGATTCTCCTGTTTGAAGGAGCGAATTACCACCTCTTTGCCTTTGTTAAATTTGATGATGAAGTTCCTCCTATTCTTTTGAAATTCCTCATAGATTTGCTTCTCCTCTGGTCCAAATTTGTGGTTGGACCTCATGATCGGATCCATGCTGGCATCTTGACAGTGTCTTGTGTTCCCACGGGTGCATACTTGGCGACATACGGAACATCTGAATCCAAATCCAGACTGAGCAGATGTTAAGTGCCTCTCCACATGTTCCAGTTTCACGTATTTTGCTGAATCATCATTACATAAACGCCAGTGTTAGGTAACGTCCTACAATAACAATGGTAAGTAATTAATTATTATTTTAAGTAAATATTTAAATATACACGTTATTTATATTTTATAAATTTTTAATTATTAAAAGTAATTGAGGACTGGATTTTTGTTATTGTTCAATGTTTAAATTTAATATTAATTTTATTATTATTTAATTATTGTTATTATTTATTGATAAGTTTAAAATTGTTATCTTTTATTACTGGATTTTTTTTATCCCACTTCTGACACCAATGTAACAAATCCCAAAAATCTGTCAGGATGAAGGGAATTTTGTTATCAATTTATAAATATAAGGACCCGCCCAACATCAAACCTAAAATGCTACGAAATTGGAGAAATATCCAACCACGCAAATAAACAACAATACTTTTATTTGTAAACACTACAATAAAACATATCAAACACGTATCTTCTTAGCTTCTCTTAATATCTATATTTAGTTTATTCTAATTTACACTTCTGGAATTAAATTATTAATTATATTAATTTGTTATTATATATACTTAAATTTTATTATCTTAATCTTAATTTAGGATATATAAGAGTTTTGTGTCTTTACGTTACTTATTTTATATTATTATTGTTTCATAAAAAGTTATAATATTTCTCAAACCCACTGTTGGTATTTAATTATGGGCTCTTTATTTGATCTTGGAGAATGTTAATTTCTCCAACTTTAAGCTTAAGGTTTCTCTAATTTTAATCTTTCTCCAAATTTTAGATTGGAGATTTTCTCCAACCAAAAGTACTTCTCCAACTTGATCTTGGGGATATTCTCCAACTTTGATATATTGGAGATATTCTCCAACTTTGATATATTGGAGATATTCTCCAACTGTGATATATTGGAGATATTCTCCAACTTTGATATTTTGGAGATATTCTCCAACTTTGATCGTTGGGATTTTCTCCAACTTCAATAGTAGAAATATTCTCCAACTGTGTTATTCAAGGAATCCTCTTGAGGGATCTTGTATTAAACCTTAATTTATTCACAGTCTTATATTTTTCTCCCCAATTAAATTATTTCTCCAACTTCAATATTGGAGATTATTTACTTTCTTTGTCAGAAAAGTCGATCTGCTTGGAGAAACTCATTTTCGTCTGAATGAGAGCGTAGCATGGAGGTAGGTAGGTAGATGACAAGTTAACGTTCGCTTCCAGCG